AGACCCCTAAAAAAAAAAAAAAAAGAATTTTGAGGCCAGCAGGTTGTATGGTGGTTAAGGCACTGGATTCCCACATGGCCAATCATATTTCAAATCCCAGACTCCATGGCTTGAAAATCATGCCAGGCATGTATGCGTGGGTGTCCAAAATCCTGAGAGGAGAATGAAAGGGAAGAGATTGCAGTGCACCCCCTGTGGTGTGCTTTCTCACTTTATCTCTCTCTGGGATTATTATTATTTTTAATTGGAATTGGGCACATGCACTCACCAGAGACAGACAGGGGACAGTGGAAGGTACTGAAAAAGCACCTCCAAGGGGGTATGGCCATGCTGTAATCCCTACTCCTCCATTCTCCCTAGGAATTTTGGGCTTGTGCACACATATGCCTCATGTATCTTTCAAGTCGCTAGGTCCAGGACTTGAACTGCACAGTTAGCCATGTGGGATCCAACTGCCTTAACCACCAAGCCACTAGCTAGCCTCAGAATTTTTACAGTTAACTTACTAGTAGATAAATTGTAACCTTGAATGTAGCAAATAAAATAAAGAGAAACTATTTGTTATATGTGTCTCTTGGAAAAATCTCATAGAAGATTTTGGTCTGGTAAAGCTATTTGAAATCATTCAAAGCTAGAAATGATTCTAAGCTATATTAAGAAAAATTCCTATTGTTTGGATTTTGACCTATGGCAAATTTTGGAATATGGGGAATATATATATATATATAAATATCCACACACACCCTCAGGGAGGATGGCCATGCCGCAATGCCTCCTCCTCTTTTCTCCTCCTGGGATCTTGGGCGCACATGCACACATGCCAGGCATGAGTTTTAAGCTACCAGGTCTGGGACATGAACTAGGTTGGCCATGTGAGAGTCCAGCAACATAACCACTATGCCATTAGCTGGCCCCAAGTCAGTTACTTTTATGATCTGAATGTTTGCATCCCTCAGAAAATTCCTATGTTAAAATCCTGCCCTTCAAGATGATGGTATTAGGAGAGGGGACCTTGGAGGGTGCTTAGGTCATTAGGATGGAGCCCTCATGAACGAGATTAGCCACTTTAGGAAGGAGGCCTGAGAGAGCTGGCTAGTCCCTTCCACCAAGTACCTACAGCAAGAAGGCACTGCCTATGAAGTAGAATATGGACCTTCACCAAACACCAGCACTTTGACCTTTGACTTCCTGGCCTCTAGAACTGCGAAAAATAAATTCCTGTTGTTTAGAAAGCACCCAGTTTATAGTCATGTGCTGCATAAAGATGTTTTAGTCAGTGGTCACATGTACGCTGATTACAAAGGACCTAAACAATTCCTATCACCTGTTGAATTCACAGCCATCATAACATGTTCGAGTAACACATTACCCGTGTGTTTGTGGTTATGCTGGTGAAAACAAGCCGACTGTACTGCCAGCTGTAGAAGGGGAGCACACACAATTATGGGCAGTACAGAGTACTTGGTAACGATAATAAACCGTGTATGCATTTACTACACTCTATTTTTGTCATTATTTTAGTGAGCCTTCTCTACTTACTGTTTTAACTTCTCCACTGACAGTGTGCCGTGCGACAACAGCAGCAGCCTCACACCCCTCATGTTTACTTGGTTTCTTGATTGCATCATTCTCTTGTGTTTGACTTAATCTGTTATTTTGTTCATCTTGACCTCTAAGCATACAAGCTCCACTGCTGGGTTGCCAGGAAGAGGCTATGCGGAGTGACTGACAAAATTAAAAGTGGTTAAGGACTATGCACGTAGAAAATGACTAGTAGTTACTGCTCATCTACCAAGCATGTCCCGTTTCACCATAGCTATGATCTCGAAAACAACGGACGGAGTGACGGAACCCATCAGAGGGGCTGCTTCACTGAAGCAATGAGACCAACGAACACTCAAGGAGGGCCTATATCAGCTATGTAGGAACGTCGGTCACCTTGATTGAAAATCAGACACAGATGCTTCTCTCACACAGCATGACAGTCATGGGCAGAGCTAACCATTTGCGATGTTCAAAGAAAAGGCTGGGGACGAGGTGGTGGCGCAGTCATGGTGTAACTGGATCCACATGGCGAAGGGTGTCAGTTTGCCTCCCACCACCTTCCTGAGCATACTGTGACCTGGGCTGGCTGAGAGGGGGGTGAATTGTGGCATGAAGGCCCTGTTGGGGTGTCTGTTTCTCTCCTTCCTCTTGTGGAATAAATAAACTAAAAGAGAGAGAGAGAGGGAAGGAGAAAGAAAGAAAGGAAACTTATGATATCAAAATGACGGCTAGGTCTGGGTGGTTTCAACTACTCAAGAATTGTTATTCATTACATAATGTGAAAGTGTGTTCATTATATAAAGTGAAATTGAGTGGTAAGTGTACACACGAAGCAACTGAATCATTCTTTGCAACTCTAGACAGTAGGCTATAAATTCTGTTTAAGTACCCTCTGATGTTCCTACAGTGATAAAAACATCTAACGACGCATTTTTCAGAAAGCATCCCCATCGTCATGCGGTGCATGGCTGTATCTCGTTATAGCAGCCCAAGCAGATGAAGGTACATGTAGACAACAGATGGTTGCATACACCTGGGTGTGAACCTGGGAAAAGCTAGTGGAAGTCACAGTTGAGAACACGGCATGCTCCTACCGGTCCTGTGGCCTTCAGGCTTAACTGGTTCTGGACTCCCTCTAGTGGTTCATCCTTTTGGTGCCTTCATTGGTGTCTTTCCATGCATAAAATGACCAGAGTTGGGGGGTCATTAAAAAAAAAAAAAAAGAAAAAGGCAAAAGAATCACACAATTCCTATTACCATGGTTTTCCACAAGGAGATGATGGTATGATATATGTGGATGTTTAGATGATTGCAATACTGTTGCAAATGGTCTGACCTAAAGGGACAAATGGATTTTTACTGGCTGATTGGAAAAGACAGTTACAGTTCTGCTGAAATTGAGTAATTAAGAGTTGAAAGTTCAGGAACAGAATTCCTCGCTGTCTTTGTGACCAAATGCGAAGACTGGAACTTTTAGGAGAAGAGTGAAGTATTTCCCGGACACATGTGTTCTACCAAGTTAGAGGATTCTAGTTTGATCTTGTATAAAGTCAGCCTCTCGGCCATCTGGACCTCTGGTTCTGCTTCTTCCTGCGAAGCTGCTGTCTGGTGAAGAGGAAGCCAGGTGCTCTGAGTCACCAGAAACACGAAAATTAATGCTGCAAATAAGGCAAAAACCAGTATGGCAGGTGCAAAGCACATGCCTATGGCCACTGCTGCAGCCTGCAAGCCTGGCTGAGGCCGAGAACAGTGCTTGGAGACACTGGAAACAAAGTCGGTGAGCAGGTCAAAAGGCCTCTGAAAAAGGAAGCAAAAACTTCAGCTACTGGAAAAGTTACCGCTAACAAACTTTCAAAACCCCTACAGAAGGTGCCTGAGCCTGAGCCTGAGCCAGAAGAAGCAAAAACTTCAGCTACTGGAAAAGTTACCGCTAACAAACTTTCAAAACTTTCAAAGAAGGTGCCTGAGCCTGAGCCTGAGCCAGAACCAGAGCCAGAGCCAGAGCCTGTGAAAGAAAATCCTTCGCCTTCACCTATTCTGGTTGATCCTTCTTCTCCAAGCCGAATGGAAACATCTGGATGTGCTCCTGCAGAAGGCTATCTATGTCAGGCTTTCTCTGGCTTAATTCTCACAGTGAGTGATGTGGATGCAGAACATGGAGTTGATCCAAACCTTTGCAGTGTGTATGTAAAAGATATCTATGTTTATCTGAGACATCTCAAGGAAGACCAAAATATCTATTGGGTTGGGAAGTCACTGGAAACATGCGAGCCATCCTGACTGGCTAGTACAGGTTCAAATGAAATTGAGGGGCCGCAGGGACCATGTACATGACTGTTTCTATTATTGATTGATTTGTGCAGAATAGTTGTGTGCCCAAAAAGATGCTGCAGCTGGTTGGTGTCACTGCCATGTTTATTACAAGCAAATATGAGGAAATGTACCCCCCAGAAATTGGTGACTTTGCTTTTGTGACTAGCAATACTTACACTACGCATCAAATCAGACAGATGGAAATGAAGGTTCTAACAGCTTTAAACTTTGGTCTGGGTCGTCCTCTACCCCTGCACTTTCTTTGGCAGGCATCTAAAGTTGGAGAGGTCGATGTCAAACAACATACTCTGGCCAAGTACCTGATGGAATTAACCATGTTCGACTACGATATGGTGCATTTTCCTCCTTCTCAAATTGCAGCAGGAGCTTTTTGCTTAGCCCTGAAAGTTCTTGATAATGGTGAATGGACACCAACTCTTCAGCATTACCTGTCTTTCACTGAAGAATCACTTCTTCCTGTTATGCAGCACCTAGCTAAGAAGATAGTCATGGTGAATTGTGGGCTTACAAAGCACATGACCATCAAGAATAAGTATGCGACATCTAAGCATGCTAAGATCGGCATTCTAGCACAGATGAATTCTGCACTAGTTCAAGATTTAGCCAAGGCTGTAGAAAGGTGTAACTTGTAAACTTGAGTCAGAGTATTATACCTGCAAATAATTGGCACCACGTGCCATCTGTACATATTATGTTACATTTACTTTTAATAAAGTGTGTGGCCCTTTTATTTTTTGCAGCTTAACTCATTCAAATGTGGTTACTTCCTACTCCAGGGTAACCTAAAAAAGGTTGTCTTTAAAAATACTGTAGAAAATATTTGAAAAACTGCTTTCACTTTATCCAAGGATCCAGCTAAGTTATATAATTGTTACCTTTATGTTTATATACGTGGCTCTTATTTTTATGTACCTGGTGAGTGTATTCAAAACCTTTATTTCTGGAGGGCATACTGCCTGTAAGCCAAGCATCGCAGAGAAGCTAACTAGTTCTATCTCAAAGTCTACCACTTCATTCCTAATCACCCTGTTTTTGGTTTCTTTTGGTGTGTTGCCATGACTCCAAGTGATTTATTTTTGTCACTGTTTCTTCAGTCATTAATTTTATCTGGGATCTTTTCAAACTTTTCACTTTGAAAAATAACTTTTTGTATTTTAAACTGTGTTTTCATTTTTGTTTATTAAGAAAATAGGATGCTCAAACAAAGTACAAAGGTATCTTTTAGAAAATTGTTAATTTTGGGGTCGACAGGTGACATGGTAGTTAAGGGTGCTGGACTCCCACATGACTGATTGATCGCAGTTTGAGTTCAGGACCTGGCGCCTTGCTTTCTCACTTTCCCTCGTGTGAGCTCGTTCTCTCTCTCACTCACTCTGTCCTTTTCTGGTCAAACTAAAATAAATAAAGTTAAATAAAATAATTCTTTAAAATAAAAAAATGGTTAATTTAGACCTGCCTTAATCTCTTCCAACTCAAGAATAGCCGCTGTTCGAGATGTAGCCTTCCATGCCTTATATAAATATAAACATGCACATAAATTGTGATGGGGTTTCCCAAAATTTGGTTCATTCTGTATACGTAGCAATTCCCTTCAGCATGTGTAGAACTAACGTGTTCATGCATCACATTACACAGTGTGGGTATACTGTAATGTATTCATCCATTCCCCTGGCAGCATTGACACTGCTTTTTCTTTTTCCCCCTACAGACAACGCTGTTGTATTTTTCAACGCTACCATGTTTTTCTTTGTGTATGCTCAGTTTCCCAGAGAAAGAGTGAATTTTAAGTTCTAACAGATAGAGCCAGGTGACTTTTCTCAATGTCATCAGCAATGTACAAAAGTGTCAGTCTTCTGTCCTTGTTAGAACTGAATCAGTCTTCAGTTTCTGTGGATCCAGCTGGTAAAAAAATAGCCTCATTTGTTTTAATATATAGTTCTGACGGCAAGTTGAACAAAGTTTTGTTTATTGTCTGCTTAAAATAAAATAAAATAAACCTCAGACCAAACCAAAGCAATGTGCCGTTTCCTCCACATCATATTCCTAATATCACAGTCTTTACCTCTATTTTAAGCCAACACAGAAAACGCTCAAGATCGATTTGTCTTTATTTGCCTATGTTGACTTAGGTCAGGCCTCTTGGCTGTATTTCCATAGGACCATGCTCAAAATACGAGGAAGAATCTTCAGTTCACTCAATTAAGCTTTTACTTCCTTCGTGCATGTAATTTTCCTCTTCCAGGACCTCCTTTTGATATGCAATTTTATGATTATTCTTTTCTTTTCTTTTTTTTTTGGAGAGATTTTCACTGTAGGGTGCGTGCACTCGCCAGACAGACAGAGAGAGACATAGAGACAGAAAGCGAGAAATCACCCCCAGGGGGGATGGTCACGCCGCAATCCCTTCTCCTCCATTCTCCTCTCGGGATCTTGGGCACGCACGCACACGCGCCCGGCGTGAGTTTTAAGCCACCGGGTCCGGGACACGAACCACGGTCGACTACGTGGGAGTCCAGCGACATAGCCATTACGCTAACTGCTGGTTCCCAATTTTATGATTATTCTTATGTTACTGAGAATAGAAGTTACTGTGGAGTCTAGAAGTCTGTCATAATGTCTGCCATGAAGTTTGGATAGAACATGATCACAAACTGGCATTGGTCTTAAGACACCTATATATGCATATCTCTCTCTTGGAGATTTTTTATATATACATATACATATACACACACATATAAATATATATATACACACACAATGTATGTTTATATATCTATACAATTGTTTATATATTTTTAATTGTATATAAATATATTGTGTATATAGTATATATTTTATATATTTAATTGTGTATATATACAGTTGTTTATATATATATATTTAAACACTCTATCTGCAATATCAGTTTTGTTACCTCACAAATTTGGATTGCAGTAAATGAAAAAACAGACAGGAAAAGGTGAATAGGATTAAAAAGGGACAGGTTTTCTTGCCTTTACATAGTTTGGACAAATCTGAGGGCAATTAAAAAGGATTGAAAATGTATTCTACCTGATAAAGAGGAAAGACCTCCATATAGGGAGAGGAAAGGCTGAAAGCAGGTGAGAAAAAAAATAGCAAAAGTTGTCTTCACAGACATGGGAATGGCCTCTGCTGCAGGACTTACTGCTGCCGTCGCATGAAAGAAGAGGTCATGATTAAGCTGTTGTCAAAAGCATCCAAAGGAGTAAATTGGGAATCAAAACAAATGTATTGGTGTGCTAAGGAGAATCAGAGGGCCTAGCTTTCCTTTTTCCCCTCGCCAACGGATTTTAAATGCCACACTGTGGTTCTCCCCTGCCATGGTGATGTTTCCTACAGGAAGGTTGTGTCTGGACCTTCCAAACAGGCTGGAATCCCGGACACGAAAGGCATCAAGGCTGTACTCTCAGCCACTCCAAGTCACAAAAGATTAGCACAGGGGCACCCAAAATACTGTGCCGGTAAGGACAGTCGCGGTTTCTTCACAAAGAGCCAAATCTCTAGGCTGATAAACCGACGGGACAGTGACGCTGCTGCAGTCCGAAGCCCAGGAATAAAGGGTGCGAGGCCGGCGACTCCGAGGGCATATGAACCCATCGAGATACATGCTTAACGACCTAGTGAAGTCAGCGTACGCTGCCCCCCAGACACTTAGAATATAACGAAGACTGCCTCCATAACGCCCTGCTGGGCCTGACAGCTGGATTTCAACACAGCCAACTTCAAAAGCCCGCCCTAGGGCACCAGATCTTCTAACTTTCCGATTGGCCCTTCCGGCTTTCACTCAACTGCTAGAGTCTTCCCGGGCGCACGCGCGCCATCTGCTTCCGGTCCAGGAGTACGGTGTTTCTGTGTTTTCCGCCCGGGTGGGTTTCCTGCCTCACTTTCCTCGGCACGTTTTTCCGTGGGCAATGGCTCCAGACTCGGATCCTTTCCTCGGAGGGCCGCTCTTGAGGCTGCTACCCTCAGACGCTAGGGACCGTGGCACCCAGCGCTGCCGCCTGGGCCCGGCTGCTCTCCGCACCCTGGGCGCGCACTTGGGGTCGGTGGTGAAGATCTCGTTGCCAGACGGCGGCTCCTGCCTCTGCACTGCCTGGCCGCGGCGGGACGGAGCGGACGGCTTTGTGCAGCTGGACCCGCAGTGCGCGAGCCCTGGGACGGCGGCGGGGCGGCGGGAGTTCCGGGGAAGTCTCAGCCTGAGCTGCCTCCGCCTGGTGTCCTGTCCGCCCCTCCGGCGCCTCACAGTGTGGCCAGTGTTGAGAGAGCGTGCGGGCGCACCCGGTGCCGCGTGTGCAGCCGCGGTGCTGGAAGTGGCACAGGAGCTGCTGCGGAACCGACCGGTCTCCGTGGGCCACGTGGTGGCTGCTCTGCCTGGCGCCCCCGGCCCCGTGGCTGGCTTGCCCATCCGCGGGGGGGGCAC